CTAAAAGCCACTCTGCATTCCCCCCGCGCCCATTTTCCATACTTTTTTTTTTTTTTTAAGAAACTTACTATACACGGCCCACACTTAAGGAGTGAGATATTGTACTTCACTTCCTGGAGGTTGGCATATTATTGGGAACTTTCTGTAGGAGAGATCTGTCAATTCTCCCTCCCCCATTCATGTACTTAATCATTTACTTATACCAGTATTGACTCATGGATATTTATTTGATGGGCTTCTTTTGCCCAATAAAATCTTGTGGACAACTTTTTAAAATAATGTATTTTTATTGATTTCAGAGAGGAAAAGAGAGGAAGTGAGAGACAGAAACATCAATGACGAGAATCATTGATTGGCTGCCTCCTGCAGGCCCCCTACTGGGGATCAAGCTTGCAACCAGAGCATGTGCCTTGACTGGAAACAGATCCATGACCTCCTGGTTCATACTAGTAGGTCCAGGCTCAACCACTGAGCCACGCTGATGGGGCTGTGGACAACTTTTAAAGTCAATGGACGTGAATATGGTACCTTTTAGAAGTTATATATCTTTAGTCAATCTTCTACGGATACACATTTTTGCTTCCCCTTTTTCCTTACTTCCAACAATGATGGAATAAGATCCTTGTACATTCAATTTCTTTGTGCACTTGTGTGGCTATTCTTAGTTTATCATTCTAACTCCATCCCTAGGACACGTCAAACTTGAGCTGTGATCCCTGCTCCTCAAGCACACCTTGCTTTCCTCAGCTTACAATATGTTTTCTCTACCAGAATTCTCTTCCCCTATCTTTGCCTGCTGAAGTTCCCTGTTTGATTCAGGGCTTAGCTCAGAAGGCTACTTGCTGGAGAAGGTCTTCTCTAGTGTTTCAAATGTAATTCAGTGGTTCCATTCCACTTCTCTTTGTTGAACACGTATTATAAAACATCATCTGAGCATCCTTTCCTATCCCAGAACCCTTTCTACGAATTTAGGAAGGGTAGAGTCAGAAAAGCGATCCATCACACTCATCTGTGTATTCCATCACAATGGTGGACGCGCAAAGTAACTAGCGTATTTTGACTTTGAAATTACATGAGTAATTGAGAAATTAATAAGTGTGCTCAATATTACAGAGCGAATTACTCTTCCTCTCTTTTTCCTACGCTTCAGAGAGTCAGAGGAGTTGCATACAGGTGTTAGCTTGTAAGTGCAAACTGTGCTGTAGTTTAAAAGCAATGCTTTCTGGTTGTCTGTCAGGTGTTTATTTGTAGACTTGGGTATTAAAGTGTGTCTTCCAAAATGAGCATCTTCAAGGTGCCAAGTATTCGTAGGAATCGGTACATAAACGCAGCAGAAATGAAGTAATTAAATAAGGTCTCTGATCTTTCCGACTCTCTAAGTCGGCAGGTGGCATAATGTATCTTACATGTTATAATTAGTAACTAGAGGTGAATGCCAAAAACAAAACAAAACAAAGAGACAACGTTTGGTTGTGAGGCTGTCTAGTGAGCGGACACCAAAGATCCGCCCTGCTGCCCAGCGGACCCGCCGGCCCGAACCCAGGGGACGCGCTCCTCCCGCCAACACTCGGCGGGGTGACCTACACTTTGTGACCCGCACTGGGTAGGAGGCGCGCGCATTGCAGCCGCTCGCGGGTACCTGGTCAGCTCTCCGGGTGAAGAGTGGGCCCGTCTCCTCTCTCCCAGAGCCCAATC